CCTCAAAAAAAAAAAAAAAAAAAAAATGGAGGATGAGGGACTGCAGCCTGGCCATCCCCCCAGGGGTGATTCCTCACTTTCTCTCTGGTGAGCATACACGCCCTATAGCAAAAATTTCTCTCTCTCAAAAAAAGAGCAGCTTTAGATTTACAGTACCACTGAGTTGAGCAGATGGTACAATGTTCCCACAGGCCTCACAACCCAATGGTTTCCCTGATTAATCTTGCATCACAATGGCATGTTTGTTATAACGAACCCAAATCGATGAATTGTTATTAGCTAAGGAAAACCCACAGTTTATTCAGGCCCCTCAGTTTTTCTCTAATGTCTCCTTTCTGTCCCGGGACCCCACCCAGGATCCCAGATAGCATTTAGTAGCCCTGTCTCCTAGCCGCCTCTTAACTGTGGCAGTCTCTCGGCCTGTCCTTGTTTTTGATAAATCACCCTAACAGTTCTGAAGAGAATTAGTCAGGAGTATTGTGCCACGCTGGTGGAATCTTCTGCTTTTTTTCTCATGATTAGATAAGGTTGCGCGCTCCTCCTTTAGGGTGGAGTATCTACGTTCTTTATCTAGAATTTTTCTGCATGCGTGCTTGTCTTTTCTCCCATGTATTAATGTATTTAATCATTTGTTACGCCACTGTGGATTTGTGGAGGTTGATACATCGGATTGTAAAGCAGTACTGCTTCATCTTGTTGTTCAGGCTGTTCCAGCTGTGGCCACTGTGAACTCTTTCAGATGGCACCCGGGTCCTTTGGTGTACTCACATCGTTGTGTGTGGGGGCGGCAGGGGTGGTGGGGTTGTTGTCGCTGCTTTTTTTTTTTCTGAGCTCTTTCTTACTTCCTGGCTGGATCCCACCTGGCCAACTGCGTGGTTAGAATCTTATGCCCTGTGGCTTGAAAAACACACACAGCGTGTCTGTGTGTGCGCCCAAAATCCCCAAGGGAGGGAGAAATGAAGAAGGGATTGTGGTGTGACCATCCCTCATGTGGGGTGCTTTCTCATTTCTCTCTCTTGCTCTCTCTGTGTCTCTCTCTGGTGAGCCCACATGCCCTCTGGCAAGATTAAAGAAATGATAAGTTATCTGTTTTCTTATGATTGAGTTTTAAGAGTTCCTTGTATATTTTGGATGCGATCCTGTGTTAAATGTTTTGCAAGTATTTATTTCCACTAGATGGCTTTTCTTTTCATTGTCTTAACAGTGTGTTTCACAGAGCAGAATTTTAAAAATTTTTACAAGCTCTTTCTGTGCAGAGAGCAGGCCCACAAGCATGGTGAGCATCCCTAAAACTCGCCGGACCTTCTGTAAGAAGTGTGGCAAGCACCAACCTCATGAAGTGACACAGGACAAAAAGGGCAAGGATCCTCTGTGTGCTCGGGGACAGCGGCGTCCTGACAGGAAGCAGAGTGGCTGTGGTGGACAGACTAAGCCTAGTTTCCGGAAAAAGGGCAAAAACTCCAAGGAAGATTGTGCTGAGGCTTGACTATGTAGAGCCCAACTGCAGACCTAAGAGAACGCTGGCTATCAGAGACGTGAGCACTGTGAACTGGGAGGAGGTAAGAAGAGGAAGGGTCACGTGACGCAGTTCTAAGCCTCATCTTTTTTATTATGAAGACAACAAAATCCTGAGGTGAACGTTCACCTCATTTGATTACAGTTGGTCTATTTGTGAGGGAATACAATAATCCATAACATTCCCCTTTTGGGAAATTTGTTTCATGGTAAAAAAAAAAAAAATGAACAAAGTCCAACTGTTTTTGTTTGAATATGTACTCGCGAATGTATGTACTGGAAACGTAATCCCCAGTGCAGCAGCACTGAGACGTGGGGTCTCTAAGAGGGGAGGAGGTGACGAAGATTGCCTTCACGAACGGGTTAATGCTGTTGTAATGGGTGAGTGAGTTAGCACAGGAGTGGGTGCTTGACAGGAAGGATGACTTTGTCCCCTGTATCTCTTGCTCTCTCTCACCCGCTTGTCTGTCACCATGGGATCACAGTGAGAGAAGGTACTCAGCAGTTGTCAGCACCTTGGGATTGACCTGTGAGAAATGAATTTCTTTGCTTTATAAATGACCAGTCTGTGATATTTTGTTCTAGCAATACAGAATCGATTGGCCCCCATTTATAATATTTTTTATTTCCTGGATTGTATTTATGATGTTGTATGTAAAAAAAGTCATGGATGAATGCAGGGTTGCATAAAATTTCTCCTGTGTTATCTTTTTTTAAAAAGAATTATGTTATTTAACTTTATTATTGTTATTATTTTCCAATTTGATCAGAGAGAGACAGAGGAAAGAGAGACAGGGAAAGGTAAAGCAAGCCACCAGGTCTGGAACTTGAACCGTGGTCAGCCATGTAGGAGTCCAGTGCCCTTAACCACTATGCCATCTGCCAGTCCCTATCTCCTGTGTTACCTTTTAGAAGTTTTATAGTTTTCATTTTACATGTAAGTCCATTTTATTTTCTTTGATCTGAGGATACATGTGCTTGTCAGAGAGAGACAGAAAGACAGAGAGAGAGAGAAAGCACCCTTAGAGGGGCATTGTTCCGCAGCAACCAATCCCTTCTCCATTCCTCCATCTTGTTGGGATTTGAGGCATGCTTGAATATGTGCCAAGTGTACTTATCAAACTTCTGGGGCACGGATTTGAGCCATGGTATACCATGTGAGATCCAGCTTCACTTAACCACTAGGCCACCAGGCCAAGCCCTGTGATCAGTTTTGAGTTTGTGTTTAGATGTCTAGGTTCTTTTTTTTTTTTAGCATATGGATGTCCAATTGTTTCACCACAGTTTACTGAAAAGACCATATTTCTCCTTTGAACTGTCACTATTCCTTGGTCAAAGATGAGTTGACTGTATTTGCATGGATCTATTTCTGGACTCTCAGTTCTGTTCTGTTGATCCATTTGTGTATTCTTTGGCCAATACCAGGCTGTCTTGATTACTGTAGCTTTATAATAAATCACATAATGTAAGTCTTCTAACTTTGTCATTGTTTTCAGTATAGTATTGACTATCCTGGTGTTGGACTTCTCATATAAACTTTAGTATCATTTTGTCAATATCCACAAAATAATTTGCTGGAATTTTTGATTGAGGTTTCATTGAGTCTATAAATCAATTTGAGGAAAAATAATATCTTTTTAAAAATTGTACTTATTTATTTATTTTTAAAGCATCTCCAATGAAGACCAGGAGATATATATATATATATATATATTTTTTTTTTTTTGTGAGGTTTTTGCTACAGGGGGCGTGAGCTCCCA